TGATGATTACTGTATATAGTAGAGAACCCTTGTCTAGTTTGTATGTCGTTGTATGACAAAATGTCCTGCCATTGGTCGGGGTCAAAAATGAAATGACCTTGACCTAGATTTCTTTTGTCTGGGTGGTGGCCTTGAGAGTAATGGAGATTTTTCAGCCAATCAATTCAGTTCATTATGGAGTTGGATGGGCCAGTCGTGTAAGGTCCTGCAGAGTTGCTTCCCTTTGGTTCCCCAGGAACCTATTTGCCCTGATTACTGTTCTATGTATGCCAGCACCATACACGTGCTCGTTGGTTTCCACAACGCCAGGGAACTGAAGCACTATTGGCTGTCCTCCCACTAAAATAGTGAACCCAACTCACTCACTCACCCATGGTAGAAGTGTACAAAATCCTGATTTTGATGGGCAAATCATAAAATGAACATCATTCCCTTGTTTATAATATTTATCATCTTAGTTGAGGTCATGAATAGTAGACATGTCAGGGGTGGGGCAATATAATGATATGAAGATTTTCAGGCGAGGATAAAAAAATCTTGTTGCTTTGTGTTGACATATTAGTGTTGATGTAACAGTGAAGACTGAAAGTTATGTTAAATGGACAGTCTTTAAACTGTTTGATACGATCTACTGGTAAAACGTTTGTTCGAGATGGGGCAAGGGAGGTTTTCACTTTTCACAACTGTTATATTTTCCACATGGTATTTTGAATACATTTTGGTGAAGATATATTTCACACTGTTTATGAAATTTTGTATTTAAGATATATTTGAGAATTTTCACCCGAAGAGAAATTATTATGTTATATTATAGGAAACTGATATAGATGTGAGATGCAATTCAGCTTCATTTCTATACCGGCATAATGCAGAAATTTGTAGAACAGAAAACTCACATAGAACACAATTATTCCTTGGATGAAACTCTCGTTTGATTGAAAATAGCATGGCACTCAGCAGTGAGATAATGACAAGATAATGGTATGGCCGCATCAGTTACGAAATAAAACTGCTAGTTTGCTTTGAGATACAGAAGTCAATTATGACTGTATGAAGATTATGGATGCCTTGAAGCTCATTGGCTGAACAGAAAGTTTCCCTGCTATGACCTCCTATGGAGGTGTTATCGTATCTCCACTCAAAGGTGTTAAGGATTAATATAAATGAGATCGAATTTGTTTCAATAATATATTTTGACAATCTCCAAGACCTTAAATCATGAGGTTTTACTTTATTTTGATCTCTTCATCTGGGAAATATTTCGTGAATCATGATTTAATTTTAGATGAAAGTATTGGAAGCAGATATATTTATTTGAAGCAGTATTCGTGTTCAGAATATGCATTTGATTTTAGTCACAGCTTGAGTAGAACCACCCTGAAACAGTCTTGATTAACTATTTATCTCCCTGTACATTTATTTTAGTTATTCCCATAGATTATTTGTGGTTTTGGTATTTAAACCCTTTCGTTGATATGTGAATATTGTATATACTTGATAAGTTCTTTCCATGTAAATATATTTTTTGCACATATTGAAACTTTTAGTTTCATTGACTGAAGCATTTCATGTTGGAGCTTGTCTTTTTAGTGGCTCTAAACATCTTGCTTTGCCTGAATTATCTCCTTTAGCAGAAACTATAATGGACAGGTCACAGAAAGAGTTTGTGCAGGGTGTGGAGTCAGATGACCTTACCTTGTCAACTGGCTGAATGGGTTGATTTCTTCGGTTAGGTGGATGTAGTCAAAGAATTGTTCACTGAAGCTTAGAAACTTGAAATTAGAATTTCATATTTCTTTGAGATGGTTCGAGAAGTGATTAATTTACTATATGAGTCATATTTGAACGCAGTCTTTCATACTAGTACATCATGCTGGATTTTACTGGATTTTCCGGTATAACAATCCGTTGATCGCCAGATTATTCTAACACTAAGCGGGTATCACATGGCTGGAGTACATTTGTGCGACATTGGGCTGTAAGTAGTGTTTTAGGCAGACTTATGTGAATGGTGGACGCTACCAGCAGGGTTATACATGCTTACCCTTTCTGCGAACACCTGGTGTCATCACTGGTTTTTACCAATCCAATCATAACAATTTCACTGCTATTTTTACCTTCACAGCTAAAGGAGGTAGTTAAGACTGGGTATTCTTTTGCCCTCATGCTTTTATTTAAGACAGTGATTAAATTTCTTACTGTTTGTTCAGAAGTTTAATGTAGCAATTTGAATGGAAATCCGATCCAGTCCAAGTCAAGGTTGCCTCTAACAATGATCCTTGGCAATATTTTCAGTTGACTTTATGTTAACAGATTTATTGTTGTTTGTTGAGCTTTAGAATTTTACTGCATTCAGCCGAGGGCGAACTGCTTCATTGCTAGAGAATTTTAAAAATAATATATATAGAAAAGATGTTCATCTGTCAAAAGGAAAATTTGCTTGTGTCAATTTCTTCCTTTCCAAGTTTTATGCATCAACATTTGAATAATTTTCACTCTTGAACTTTCTCAAAAGAATGGCCGTAAATTTGAAGGTGAAGTTTCCTGTTCATAAATTTCATCCAAGATGAACATACTAACCATGCTGAGCTTTTTTCTCATTGTATCTTTTCATCTTGTCAGTCATTTGAATTGAAAGCTCTGCTACACCACCAGCAGATAAACAGGGTTCTCTAGTAAATGCTGTTAGGAGTTGCTGCTGACATCTGTTTTTTGAGAATGTCAACAATTATTACAGTTTAGTTGTGGGTATGTCACTTAGAATTCCATTCAGAGCCTGACATGTACTTTGAAACCAGAAGCTTTGTCTAAGCAAACCTTTGATGTATTAAGCAAATCACAAGACAGACATAAGTTATTAGTTATCTTATTGGGGTCTCCTGCCATGATATTACTGGAATATTGCCATAAGCCGCATAAAACCCTATTCACCACTTAATCATTGTTATGTAGCTTGAAAAGTTTACTTTTAAGTACAAAGAGACATGAAGTTCCTGTTACGGTTGGGGTATCCTAGTGGTTAAAGTGTTTGCACATCAAGCCAGATACCCAGGTTCAAATCCCCACATGGGTACAATGTGTGAGGCCCATTTCTGGTGTCCACTGCCATGAGATTTCTGGAATATTGCTGAAAGTGGCTCAAAACTAAATACAATCACTCACCTGTTGTAGTGACACAAACTTTAAAACCAGCACTGAAAGTATGCCTTGTTTTGATAATGAAAGAACAGCGAAATTTTATGGGATGTTTATTTATACTGCCACATTATTCAAACTGCCTCAAAAGTTGAGTTAAGTTTAAGTTTGAGTTCAGGGCATACCTCAGATTAAAATGGTGAAATTGTGCATTGTCCAGGCTACATGTCAAAATATTGCCCGAGAACGGTCTGGTAGTTCAATGTGTAGCCTTGGTATGTTTGACATTGGTGATGAATTAGAGTGGTTTATTAAGTGTCGATACTTTGTGGATGTACATTTATACTTGCATGTATAGGACCTGGGCCACGTTACACAAAGGTCTCGTAAGCCTAAGATCTTGTAACTTTTCTCATAGCAGTCGTATCTCCTATACTGTAACATAGGAGGTAAGACTACTACAAGAAAAGTTACGAGATCTTAGGCATATGAGAGCTTTGTGAAACGGGGCCCTGGTTGCTAAGAATGTTGGGTGTTTTGAGAGCTGTTCAATCTGTTGTATGTTTCTTCACATTTTATGTATATATGCATCAATTGACACTATGTATATATTGTACAGAGGAAATAAAGTATTCATCTACTTCAGTCCACCTGTTTGTTTTTTGTTTGAACAGTTCAAATTGCTGGTGGAGGGTGAAATGGATTGAGTGTATACCTGGAAAGTGGAGGGTCAGATGATATCCTTACCTTGTCAGCTTGATGAGATATCCTTAGATTGGTCATGTGGAGAAGGTGCATGACTTTTAAATCATATTTGAATCCCATTTTCTGGCTGCTATTTTGGTGCACACATTGGGCACATTGAGCATATTCATACTCGTTTGAGTAAAGTAAGTCTCAGTTCTCACTTAAGTGTACCTTCTGACATCACGCGGGTATGTAACGGCATGGATTTACCAAACAGATAGGACCGGTGAAGATCTGGGTTAGAATTCGTCGGTGGACAAGCTTGCTGACTTGGTTGAAACTTGTCATTATATCCGATGCCCATTCTGTTGATCACTTGATTGTCTGGTCCAGACCTGATTATTTACAGAGGGTTGTCATAAAACTGGAACATTTTTGTCTTGTTCGACCACCCCTACAGGGCCCTGACAGCCAAGAGCGGGTAACTCTCCCTGTCTACCTTGCACCTCACTTTTCATGTTGTCGTTTCTCAGTAACATCTACAGGTTTGTATGAATAGTTCTGGGAGTATATGTTGACACATGACCATATCACGGTTCAAGATAAGCAGATAATTGTTTACCACTGCCTGAGGAGGACTTGGAAAGTAATATTCTTTGTGAAGGTAAATAAAAAAAAAAGAACGTAGCACTTCACCACAAATAGGTTAATGGTAGGATTGCTCGGCTGGTTGGTTTGTTGTTTAACGACCGACACAGCAATATTCCAGCACACAGCAATATTCCAGCTATATGGCGACGATCTGTAAATAATCGAGTCTGGACCAGACAATCCAGTGATCAACAGCATTGGCATCGATCTACACAATTGGGAGACAATGACGTGTGTCAACCAAGTCAGCGAGTCTGACCACCCGATCCTGTTTGTTGCCACTTACGACAAGCATAGATTGCTGAAGACAAATTCTAACCCAGGTCTTAATGGTATGACACTGGAAAGGTTGCTGCATTTCACCATACGAAGGATAATGGAAAAGCATGGAGATTTTGAGCTGCAACATACTGAGCTGAAGTAGAGTGATGTTGCACTCAGCAATATTCCAGCTATATGGCAGTCAGAGCTGAGGAGCTAAAGAAACCCTGTATACATGACGACTGACATCAATGACAAAACACAAAGTCATTAATACATTTACTTCATAGTATCAAAATTACATCAGATATCTATACACACATTAATTTCAGATCTCACCAACATATACAAAATAATGTTTAAAAAAAACTCTTGCTGTAAATGCTGCCCATAAATTTGAAGTTTAGAACAAACAAAGACAGACATTTTGAATGGATTCCTCACGAGGATTGTCACATATCAAAATATATATCCTACTGTCAAATAATGGTAATTTCATATCACAGGATTTCACCGGGATCAGAGCAGGTATTCCTATTCATAGATGTTCACATTTTTTTTAAAATCCAGGCCTAAAAGAGCTGGTGCAAAACTAGGTTCTGGCATGCCGATCTGGGTCCAAAAAGGGCATAACTGTAAAAGGTATAGAGTACTATAAACATAAAAATTGTCAATAAAATTCCAGTGGAGACAGTTATACTGTTGAGATGTTAAGAGTGAGTGAGTATGGTTATACGACACTTTTAGCAATATTCCAGCAATATCATGGCAGGGGACACCAGAAATGGGCTTCACACATTGTACCCAAATGGGGAATCGAACCCGGGTCATCGGTGTAACGAGCGAACGCTTTAACCACTAGGCTACCCCACCACCCCCTGAGATGTTAATAAAGCAAGCACAAGGAACTTAACAATATTGAGAACTAGGACTGGCTATAGATATAAATCACAGATTGATAATCATTAACTAAACATCAATAGATTATAGATAAATATCTTTTGAGCAAAAATGTCTGAAAGAAATGAATATAGTTCATCGCTGGTGAATTGTGACATGATTTTGATTATCAGCGTCTTCAACATAATATAGAAGCAGATCATAAAGTCCAAAATTTGTATATTGTGCGAGGAAATAACTATTTTCTGTCACAAAATTGAATGTACGATATTATCAATAACACAATTTTCATACATACAAATTATTTAAAAATTCCTGTCAACAGATTATCGGTCATTTTATCCAGCCCTATTGAGAACATCCTTACAACTAATGAGTAACGGTAGTAACCAGTGTTGCCAGAACATAAATTCCCTATGTGTCGAAACAAAATAAATAACAATTATGTCAAAATACATTTGCATAAAGCTTCCAAGAGGTCAGAGCCCCTGTAACAAATCTTCATCAGGTTTTCTCTTCAGGCTCTCACACATAGTAAGTTTAGTTTTACTTCATTTTCAGCAATATTCCAGCTTTTAGCAATTGGGCTTCACACATTGTACCCATGTGGTGAATCGAACCCGGGTCTTTGGCGCGACAAGCGAACACTTTAACCACCAGGCTACCCCACCGCCCCTCACACAAAGAAATCCATATCTGTACCCATTTAAAAACTTTAGAGTTCCATTGTACCTTATGAGAGCAAAGCATGAAGTTATAAAAACATAAAACTGAGCTTGAAATAAGCAAAAGTTACAGAGAAAACCAACATAGCAGCAACACAGAGGTAATGAAGCAGTGATATTACGTCCCATCCTTAGTTACGGATAAGCGACAGGAATGGGCTCCCATGTTTCTGGTGTGTTTAAGATTTGGAGCAGTCTGCTGACGAAAACCCTCTACACATCCTGTTGCTGGTGGCCTCACGGTAGCCTTGAGATTTGTCAAGTTCAGCCCCTTCAAGATAAAAAAGTAGAACATTCATAACAGGTGTAGTTGTATAACAATGGTCAGGACAGGTATTAAGGTGAGGTGAAAGGTGAATGAGTGAGTATGGTTCACGCTGCTTTTTGCAATATTCCAGCAATATCACAGCAGGAACACCAGAGTGAGTGAGTATGGTTTTATGCTGCTTTTTGCAACACTCCAGCAATATCACTGCGGGGACACCAGAAATAGGCTTCGAATATATGGGGAATCGAACTCAGGTCTTCAGCCATTCTCTTCCCACAGAGGTTACTTGTCATATGTTCCTACGAACCTCTGTTCTAATACGGCCATATTTCCCGGTTCTCGTAAAATCCCCTAGCGGCAAAAGATCGCAACACGAATTATCTCCCTTCTTTCTATCCAATCAGAACACGTGTTCCATCGACTTAGATTCAACTTGACTAACAAAAGCAAATGTGGGGCCACAAATATCCTTCCTCTGCCGGGGACTTGTGTTGATGTTACACACAAGACATTTAATGGCTAGCTTGTCCGTTGTCAACGAGGGCGATGGAGACGCCACTGATCCGCCATAACATGACTGAGTTCTGTCTAGAAGAAACGGTTGCGCATCGCGCAGGGGAAGAGGTTTAGTTTTCTCGAAGCATACGGAAATTAACGACGCCTTGGGAATGATCACTTTTGAAACAACGTCGCTGATTGCACAACTAAATCTGATTGCCTCCAATCACGAGTCTTGAACGCTCACACCATGAAAGGGCCGTTTTAGAACAGAGGTTACGTAGGAAGATATGACAGGTGTAACCTCTGTGGGAAGAGAATGGTCTTCAGCGTGACAAGTAAATACTAACCACAAGGCTATCCCACTGCCGTGTCTCATGTTAGTATTATAGTATTATCATTCGTCACCACTCGCCCCTTTCTGTAACCTCCAAGAAGACTTGTTCCCCTCTCGATGCTTATGTGTGAAAATACCACAAACCAATCAGAATGCGCGTAATGATTAAGGTGCTTTGATTAAACATAATCCCGAGTACTGAAATTGTTTATTGCATTATGTGATTGTTTAAAAAATCATGAAAATAGATATCATCAGTTTGACATTACAAAGAACATAGCTAATGAATCGTATTGCCTTATGTGAAGTTGTTAATACGGATAATGCCTTGAATGGTAATAATAACATTGTGTCCATTTATATAGCACCAAACTCCACACTGACAATGCTCATAGCGCTGACAATGACAATGTGCTCATAGCACAGCAGGGGCGGTGGGGTATCCTAATGGTTAAAGCGTTGGCTCGTCACGCCGAAGACCCGGGTTCGAATCCCAACATGGGCACAATGTGTGAAGCCCATTTCTGGTGTCCCCCGCCGTGATGTTGCTGGAATATTGCTAAAAGCGGCGTAAAACCAAACTCAGTCAGTCAGTCATAGCACAGCACATTATTACCCCCGATAACCCAAGCTGCGTTTGGCGCGAGAAGGTTATACAGTGAGACCCCGGATATCAGGACACATTCGTTTTTGTGTAAATCGTCCGGATAACTGAATATTTCTGTCATCCAGGCTTAGGTGTTGAAATGGTAGCGAGCATACGCTTCAGGTTTAAATCACTTCAAAAACAGCACGGTCGTTATGATTTGCCAATTAGAATTCACTCTGTGTCAGATAGGCCGACTAATCACCACCAATACCCTGCTGATCGGTCATTAACCTGGATTATAGCTAAAATACATGGAATTATCATGAAACGGCCCTCCCATTATCAGAAATTTGCGGTCCGCTGCAAATGATATTGGACCGTTCAACCTTAACGACGGGCCACTATCAGTTCTGTTGTCAAGTGACGTCATAGTTCGACATTAATTTGCTTTCGACTGGCAGATATTCTGGGTCAAACAAGTCAAAGCAACCCAAAGTCCCGCTTCAAATAGCGGTAATATTGGCTTTCTTGTTGGTGCTAACCTTAACAATTGCACTATTAAGACTGTTGATGGACCAAAACCGAACACTGTCATAGTTTGACATGTTGCAGGCTATGGTCTTGTCAAAGGCCAAGGTCGAATATCGTCACTTTCTGTTGTGACGTCACTTGAATTGTTCGATGACGTAATTGCATTCGGGCAGTCAAGCCCGTCAGAAGTTGATTTTGGTAAACTTACAGTCAAATTCCTTCATTGTTTCCTTTTTCTTTTCAACACAAATTCCATGTATTTTAGCAATAATAACGGTAATGCTATTTTGAGGGCATTATCATTTGCAGAAGCCCTCGGGCTTTTTCAACTGCCCTCCTTCGTCGGGCAGTTAATGGAAGACCTCGGGCTTCTGCATATGATAATGCCCTCAAAAATAGCATTACCCTTATATTAGTAGACCTTGTCTCGTGTAAAGACACATGGAACTTTCGCGCTTCACTTCGCACGGTCAGCGGAATATCAAAGCTTCGTACGGATAAGTGAGTCAATTTTGTGTTGATTCAGCCGTTTGGTTTGTAAAATTTACCGTCCGGGAACGGAAACCACATATCCGTTATAGACAGTCACTTTTATAATGTAGGAGATTGGGTTTTTTATGAAAATTGACCGGAGGGCAAGGTTTCCGGATATTTAGGTTCCGAGGATCCGGGGTATCACTGTAGTCACATGGCTTATCCCAAAGGGTACCCATTTTTCTGCTGGGTGAACAGAGACAATTTTGAACAAACTCACTTGCCGGTGAGAGATTCCAATACACACATTCTAGATTACTGAACTTATCACTGAACATGCATGTTTCTACTTGATGGACTTACCTTAGTATTATAGTGCTGTCCGACTGAAATACCACACAGTATTTGACATACACTGAGCTATTCCTTGTTTTATCCCCAAGTGACAGGCAAGGTACCGTCTTAAAGTATGACACAGTCGGGGACAGAACCACAAATGATCCTGTGCAGACACTATCCGCGACCCCACTGAGGTGGTCAGTAACAGCTAAGTATTACACTACCCAAAAACACATGGTCCAATTCATCCTCGATAATCTCCAAGGTATACGTTACGATAAATTTCCACTATACCCTGGATGCATCCAAGGCTTGGCCTGATGATTTTATTACCTCCCTTGGCTGGCTTTTTATCCAAGCAGGTGTTTACGCTGGGAAGTTGAGAGTACCAATCACAACTCACTTTCGCTACTTAAATTATCTAACCATTTTAACTTGGCAACACAATTAATGTAGAGGTACTCTGAAAGAGGTAGAAGGAGTTCTTTTATATTTTTTTTAAAGATTTCAGACCTGTCAATTTGTCTGTATGTTTCCCCAAAAAATCTGAGTTGCACTGCGAACAGACTTTCGCGACTGTGACCACTGTTTTGTTGACACTGGCATGCTCAGTTGTAAACGGCGGCTTAGCTGATTGGCTACTGTGAAGATTCGGAGCCATTCGTCACCACTCGCCTCTTCCCGTAACCTCCAAGAAGATCGCTATTCGGCTTGTCCCGGAATACAGGGTATGCCGTATGGTGGAGATTTATCGTAACATATACCCGGGAGATTATCGAGGATGGATCCCATCACATGACACAGAAATTCTATGGCTGGTGATATGATATGACATGACTTCCTTTTGTTCATTTTTGGTTTTTCTAACTTTGAATACCCATCCTGCACTTGGTTATTTACCCTGGGAATCATTCGTGTTCAACTCGTGTTATTCCGGGACAAGCCGAATAACGACTCGTGCCCCTCTAGAAAGATTTCATATTGGCGCATGAACATCAGAACTACTTTAAACAGGAACGATAACTCTTTTCTTGTTTGATTCCAATGGTACTTAATATCACCGAAATAATCATACATTGTATTGCTGTTTATGTTTTTAAAGAATTAAACCTTTTTGATACAAATAAAAGAAGGAGAAAAACTTATTTGTTAGAGACTTATTCTGACGTAATTATTACCAGATGTTCACCTTATATTTCCAATTATATTTCTAAATTATATTTCTAATTTTTGGTAATCACAAATGGGATTTGTTTTATTAAATATGTAAATAAAATTTATAAAAGCTACATTAAATCCCAAAGCACAAACTCAAAAATGACTTTAAAATATTTCTCAAACTGAACATTCGTGTAACCTTGCTGTCTTACCCCAAGTGGAATTTTAAATGAATTCTCTGAAAATATATGAATGACCAAAAATATGTCAGACTAAAATATTCCCAGAGATGTGAAATATATGCCCAATGATAAAGATTAAAGTTGATTATTTACATGCAGATATGTGTCTAATATTATTGTTTTGAAACTCGTAGCGATTTATAATTACATTTCCTAAACTTGTTGGAAGCGCATGTACAATCTCCATAGCAAGCCCGCAAGATCGTCAGAAATACTCTCAGTTGGACCCATGAGAGCCGTTATGTCAATAAACGCACGCGCGTGTATTTGAATCTCTCACAGTCAATCGCATGATTCTTATCAAAAACTTCACAATAGCTAAATGTTAGCTATTTTCTTTGTACTTTCAATATGACAATATATATTTTTCATGATTTTTTAAACAATGACATAATGCCATAAACGATTTAAAGGTCACATAAACCCTAGGGGGTAAAAATACATAAATCACTAACTCGCATCGTTATAAATGAAACCTCGTCATTAAAACTACTCATTTCGACCTTTAATTGACTTAAATCGACCTTTTTGACAACAGTGCACAATTCTCACCCGCGAACGAAATTTCAACCAATCAGAGCGGCGCGACTCTGTGACGTCATATGAGGAATAGCTTGGAGGGCCTGTGCAGAATTCATCTACATTTTAGGGGTTACATTATGTTGTTTACAGGCTTGTATAAACCTGAAATCGTGACAATTGTTGTGGAAAATGAAAGCTATATGTTCTCACAATCTACTGTCATTTAATTTTGTCTCCTGCTTTGCCTAGTTTCCGAGTTACAACTTGTTTTCATAGACGATTCTGTCAAAATCGATTGGTGTCGTTAGGCCCTATTTGTATAATGACTGATCCAAATTGATCCCATTTCTGTGTTTTTTTATCTCGATATTTAATCATGTCATGTAAAAATCTGTTTGTATTCTCAAAACAGTGTCGGCCCATAAGTTTTCACATGCAATACAGCAATTAATACTACACATGTTATTTGTCATCATTCACTTGATGGTCAGTTAATGAATTTATAACAGGTATAATTAGTGGTAACACACTTAAATTACCCGACAAAGGTTCCCATTTGGCATTTCTTGTGTCTGGAGTAAATACTCAACATTATAAACATCGATCAAAGGATTAACCGATAACACGCTGATTGATTAATTACTTTTATCTTACACAGCGGAATTGTCAAAAGGTAGTGTTTATGTATGTAGATTTACTAATCTATACTGAATACACTCTATCGTGTCGGTGTCTGCGTAAAAACAACGTCCTTCTTTCAAAGGATTAACCGGCAATACATTGATTGATTGCCCATTATTGGCTAACTAAATTATTGTTTTTAAAGAAAGGCGGACATTATGCAATTGGTTGCCAGGTGTGCTATCTTGGGTGACCAATGAGACTATACACCAATACCTGAAAAGATTTATCACTTTTTCGTATATTAAACTGTTAAAAGACACATCATTTGGAACAGTTTTGTGGATATTGATGGATACATTCCTCGAACAAGGTAATGGCCTGATATTGTTCCTATAACTTTAATCTGTTTTAATTTTAATATTTGCATTTTGTTTTTATTCATTTGTCGTAGCATTCAACAGAATCATTGTTTTCGCCGTGAAGTGTAATGAGACAGACAACATGCACTAGGGTGTGTGTGCGAATTATGATTCACATTGGCAAACTATAAAATGTCTAGATATTACAGTTCTGTTATAAATTCACTATAAGTATCAGCAGATCGTCTGCTTTTATTTAGTTTCAAAATGCATACAAGTATGATAATAAACTAATTAGGATTATAAGACCAAATATAAAGACGCACATTGACTAGTATCTACATACTGGTGAGTGGACATTAACCATGGGAATGTAGCAAGAAATTTATCGCGCAGTATTGTGACTTCGACCCCCACCTCGCTTCCGTGGAAGAAATCGTTATGTTATAAGTTGTGTCATGCAAAATCCGTTTGGTTATGATTCCAATACATATTTAACTACGAGTAGAAAGTAGTCTTGATTTTCTGACTTGATGAAAACAAACTATAATCTCATTAATTCTAACAGATTTTTTTATTTTTAAAAATGGCGGCGCCCTATCGGGAACATCCGCCAGTCTGAGGATAAATGGTATTTAGGTTTGTTTTCACCGAGTTACAAAATCAAAACTACTTTCTACTGGTAGTAAAATATGTATTTTATTGATGGCCAATAGGATTTTGCATGACAAAGCGTATAACATAACAATTTCTCTCGTGGCAGCGAGGTGGGTGTCAATATAATACTACTTACAATATTATTGTTACTTCAACCACAACCTCACTTCCGAGGAAGAAATCGTTATGTTACAAGTTGTGTCTTAGAAAATCTTTATGGTCATCAATCATATGCATATTTTACTACAACTAGTAAGTAGTTTTGATCCTTTAACTTCCGTGAAGCGATCTGAACACAAGTAAGATATCGTTTCAAGCTTCCACAACGCTCGCTTCGCACTCACAAACATAACCCATTTAGCACGAACTGCGGGGTCCTGTGGAAATCTGTGCATGGGGACACCATCGCCCGACCCCTAGGAGCAATTGACGACAAAGCAACGATTCGGCATGTCGTCGTTGATGTCGAGAAATCATCAAAATGATGAGCGTGCTACACATTTTCTATACAACTAACTGAAAATCGTTCCTCATATGACGTCACTGCAGTGCTCCGGCGACAGAGTTACGTAACCTGTCTGTGGTTTCGTTGGCGGGCGAGAGGGGAAGCAGGCGACTTTTTGGCAACTTTTAATCGCTCGGTATTAATTAACCACAAGTTTTTAAAGAATAAATTTGGTGTTCCGCATAAGACTAACCACAAATCTTTCATATGTAATGGTTAAAAGAGTAACAAAAAACAAAGTTTAGTGGTTCTTTAAGTGCTCGGGATTATTTTTACCAAACACCGCAGTCATTTACGCGCGTTCTGATTGGTTTGTCGTATTTTTGCACATAACAAGCATCGAGAGGGGGGACGAGTCTTCTTGGAGGTTACGGAAAGAGGCGAGTGGTGACGAATGCCTGGGAATGTCTGTGTGTCAAAGTTCAAGTTCATAGCCTGGAAAATGTTTGTTGACCACCTCCTGAGAAGGATTTACAGGGAAACATTGTGTCCCAGAATTTATACACTTCTGAACAGATATTGCACACTGTCTCCATGAGATCATCTAATTTTCAGATATTTACTGTTGTTTCCTTCAAAAGTGAAATACTGTACTTGCCGTAATGAGAGCCCTGCTCCAAAAAGCACCTCCTGAATAAACTCTAGTCTACAGTCGGTTTGATTTCATTTGAGACCGATGATTGCTCACTAACACAAAATCTAACAAATGCAACAAAACCAAATTTTGCACAGTAGCATGAAATCAACAGACCAACTCTGATGATTTGTCTCATAATTTTGGACACCCGAATACAAAAGTTGTTTAACAAACAATCATTATTTTGTAGTCACTTTTCGTTATTTCTTACGCGGGGGACCACTTGCTGGTGCAACAGCCAGGTGTGTGAGTTGCACTGTGAAATGAAATTTCACTATACACGCTTGTTGATTACCTCGCTGTTCTACCAGCAAATGCCCCCACCCCACCCACCCACCCCCCACCCCTAGTAAAAGAGAGCGAAAAGTGTTTAAGTGAGCAATTCATCGGTCTCAAATGAAATCAAACAGATTGTAGTCTGGAAGTAATCTGTTTATGCAGCCAATTTACAATTGTATTTTGTCCTCTATATGGTGGTCATGTTTGAGTTCAGAAATAGTAGCATTGAAGCTAGTACATTCCATATACCATTTTAGATATTATCAAAACCAGTTTTGCTTCACAGACATTTGAACAAGATTGTTCATTACTAGTTTATCTATAAACACAATTTTAACAAGTTCTGCATTGTTTTAATAAGATGCCCCCTTTGTCAATATTCAGAGATTTTGGGGCACCCATTACAACAAATACATTGGAGCCTAGAACTGTGTACTGTAGTATATTCGCTATAAGTAGTTGTAACACCTATGTACATCGTATTGGGATTACCCCGTTTCTGATTACGTCATCTATGCGTCATCTGCACGAGGATGATGACATCGTGAATGTATGAGTACGCCATTTTGCAATAAGATATGAGGGTTGTCTCCAACTCCCACGATATGTCTTAGTGTAAGGAAACCCCAACACCGAGTACATTACACCTACCGACAATGAGGTTGTGAAGATTGCAGTAGTTGGTGCCGTAGTCAAGGACAGCGTACCAGGCCCTTGACCTGCTGACACCCTGGGAATAAACAGATCGATGCTATAAATAATTCAAAATACCTACCATTTGCATTTAGTGTCTTTTAAACATTAAATTCCTTGATTTGGTGTTTAAGAGTCATCTACAGAGACAGATGCCAGGTTTTTTTCATGCAATATCTTTACCTTATCTCAACATTATGAGAAGTACGATTTGGTTGGTTTGTTGTTTAACGCTGCACTCAGCAATATTCCAGCTGTATGGCAGAGGTCTGTAAATACATGTAATCGGGTCTGGACCAGACAATCCAGTGATCAACAGTATGAGCATCAATCTACGCAAATAGACGACATGTGTCTACTAAGTCGGTGAGTCTGACCAGCTGATCCTGTTTGTCATAAGAAGTACAAATATAAGTATTAATGCTAACTTTCTCTTAAGCAGCAAATAATGTTGCTTCAAAGAACTGATCCAATTTCCATTTTTTTTGCACTCGCAAATCCTTTCTTTTCTTCATCAAAGGTGTACTGCCCTGAATAAGGAGTCCACAGGTTTTCGGAGATATCATTGAGTGTATATGGTAATCGCACCTTCATTCAATGATTCATTCCAGTAGATATTAACTTGAGGTAGGTGAACCTAACTCTCAATAAACAAGAACCAAAATATATATATTATGAAATCATTCATTTTGTGAAAAGACTAAAAAAAAAACAGTCATTTTATGAAATGACTCTGAGGATCAGCCATTTCGCTATTAGCTATATAAATAGGTTTGGACGTTTCCATCAAATTTGATGTAAATGTGCTTGATAACGATTGCCAATGTTCGTGATGCACGAAACAAATCTCCAAAATGCATTTTGTGACCCCGACTCTCAGAAACATGAAATACATGTCTTAGTCGGATACTTGGGAAAGATCGTGCGAAAAATCAGTACAAATGGCCTGTCCAACACTGCAATATCACTGCACATAAAGTCACACAGGGAGAATGCCAAGGTTAACCCAGGAAGAAAGAGAACGGGCAGTAGGGATAGCTGAATGGCTGACCCTCTTAGTTATTTCACGAAATGATTGGAAGTATGGTGATCACCGGTCACCCTTGCTAGAGATAGTGGTAATGACCGGTGTCGGGAGGTGATAGGAACAGCCGGAAAAACAGCGAGTCTATGCCAGCCATTCTGTGAGTACACAACGCCTTATCTGGGGTCTACATAAATCCTTAGGTTAGGGCTATATTACCGCAGAGTGCGAGCCATAGCTAACTCCATAGGTGTTCCGCCGTAGTGGTGAACGAGTTTTCACTACAGTGACGCCGCGAACACCGTTCCTGGGTGGGAATTTCCGTTTTTCTACCTCGGGAGATCGCAGCGCAGTTTTCAGTTTTCCCGCTATTGGGGAGAGAGCGTAGTCTGCGACATATGTGTCGTAGGACTGTGTGTCAGCCAGCGTACTGCTGTTTAGGATATTTTTAAAGTTATTCCGGGGCGTTCTCGGAAGGTTAGCTTGGGGAAATCTTCTACAAAATAGATTAATATAAGTTTTTTCAACTTCGGTCGGCTCACGTGCAGGTCACGTGGGTCGGCGCACCCGACTGGTGCTCCAGCCAACCTGGCTGGCATACTGTGCTATCTAACTTTCTAAGATTTTGTTAGGTTTCTAAAGTTATCAGGGGCCGGATTATTGAACATTCATCGTGTGCTGGACAAATTTTGGATGTTGTATGACTTTATTGATGTTATGCACTGTGTTACTCTTGTGAACTGTCTGCGCATGTCAAGAAGGAAGTAGCAGTGTTTACATTCGAGGGATGTGATGCGTTGTTCCGGGAGTGCAAACGAACAGCGGATAGCCGTAAAACACTAATTTTTGTGAATTCCATTGACGGGAGCTCGGACACTCATATTGTGTTTTATGGGGGAGTAATATTCACGGAAAGATTATTCACGGAAGGACTATTCACGGAAAGATTATTCACGGAAGGACTATTCACGGAAATATTAAAGCGTGAGTGCTAGAAACTGGACTTTATAGGCTATACACTATGGCTCAACAACCCATTTATGTAAATCTTTCAACCGCGAAGGATTTCAGAGAGAGAGGACTGTCTCCAAGTCAAGTGAAATCAATGGTGACAATGAGGAAAACAGGGTTTAATATTACCGCTGAGGACATACTGGACTTGGAAGAATTTAATCATGATGCAGATTTAGTGTCAACATTTGATTACACCCCAAGTGGGAAGTTGAAGAACCGTATCCAACCCATCAAACAGGATAGTTTGGAAGATAACACAGAGTCAGAGGATACCACAGGTTCAGAAGGTTGGCACGCCGGGGGCGAGGACAATGACGATATACAGATGCAGGCCAATGAGAGTAATACCCAACAGAGCTCAGGATGGGAATCGGCACGTGGAGCACACGGTTTTGGTTCACGGGATACCGGAATGGTAAACATGATGGACAGAATGATGCGATCAATGGAGGACTTGAACAGAAGAAGGAACGCGGACTTCATGATGAGGACGATGAGCGAAATGTCCATGAACAGTGTAGAATTGTGTAAAAACACCTCCGCAGCAGTGAAAGATAGCACTGAGGCAGTGGAGAGAGCAATTCACCGGCTAGATAGCCCAGGACATCCACTGACATCGCCGTATGGGTTCAGTCCGTATGGTCCCTACCCCAGGGGTATGCCTTTCGGATCCCCAGTCTCTTGGACGGACGTACACAGTGGACCAAACCCTATTGTGAGATGGGAGCAAGGTGACGGCAGGATGGAGGGCTGGTTCCAGGGCGTAAAGCCGGAGCCAGCCACACCAGAGCAAGCGGCGGGATTGCATCATGAAGCCCCTGTGTGCAGGAAAACAAAACCTGGGGAGTGCAATGAAGGATATGACCCTATGAGTAAGATGCTGGATGAGAGAACTGCCAGGAGGTCCGCTTCCGAGTTACCGTCTGTGCATGCAGTGAGGGAGGAGTGGATCAGAATAAAGGAACTGGAGCGACTTGTTGCTAGATTTGACCATGAACCATGTATGACCGATGTCTATGCCAATGAGGAGCGTTTACAGGCAGTGACTGCTGCAATATCAGAAATGGAACTAGAGGACTACTATGACATTGACACTGATGAAGAGCTGAGACTATGGAATTACCTGCTAGAGCTTCTTCACACTCGTCACAGGAATTTGGAGTTGACACTGAGCCTGCACAAGATCTTCCAGGAGATGCTGTGCAACTTGGACTGGATGGAAGGGACCACAGCCTGGCTTACATCTGAGGGTGATGGTTGGCACCTGATGGAGGTGGAGGATCTCGTGCAGCAGCAACGCCTATTGGAAGCAGACATCCATGTAGTGGCAGAGAAGGTGGAAACTGTGAACAGTTCAGCCTCCCGTTTTACTGAAGACGACTTGTGGGACTTCTGTGACCCTGATGTGGTCGAAAAACGAATGCTTATTTTGGAATCGGCTTATGATGAACTGAAAAAAAACTTGTTGAGCAGAGACGATCTCGTGTGGAAGAGGATCGCAAGCAGCGGCAGCTCTACAGGAACATGAAAGATGAGGAAGGATGGATCAGGGATAAGAAACAACTTATGTCATCACTTGACTTTGGACTTAACCCCACCAGTACTCGCCTGCTGCTGAACAAGCATGACACGATGGAGGATGAGATGAATGCCCGTCACAGCCATCTCCAGTCAGTACTACAAGTGGGAGACATTCTCGTTGCTGCAGGCAATTTCTGTGCTGACAAGATTCAGCAACACATCAATGAGGTCAAACAGCAGTGGCGCAGCCTGGTGGACCTCGCTGATGAACGAAGAAAGCGACTGTTTGTTGCCATGGATTTCCACCAGTTCGTTGCTGATTCTGGCAAGGTTGACACTTGGATGAAGGACACTTTACAACTAGGGTCCATGGAAGACGTTGGCAAGGATGAGGCCAGTGTTCTATCGCTTCTCCAGAAACATGAGGAGGTGACTGAGGAGCTCAAGAGCTATCAGAATGTTATTGTGAACCTGCATAAACAGGCCATCGGTCTGGGAGAGGAGTACTGTGAATGTCCTTTGGTCAGGAGTCGATTGAATAATATTGACTATTGTTACCAGAGACTTCTGGAACTCGCTGAATGGCGGAAGCAGAGACTGGTTAATGCACTGTTTCAGTACAAAGTCCTCATTGAGAGTGAAGGTGTGGAAACAATGATTGATGAGAGTGAACACACTCAGGATGATGCAGTCCTGGACCTCGGGGATGATGATGGTTCAGTAGACTTGGATGAGGGGATGTTGTAGATTATGAAGGAGTGAGGGAGGGTTTGACTGTCCCCGAAGTACCCTTGGTTCCTGCCCTTGCTACACCTACTACACCAGCAAATATCAAGACTGTTGCTCCGGCAGACAAATCAATGCGTTCTGCAGCAGCTAAAGTGACACGATCACCCACCAAAAGTGCTTTGGCAGCAAAGTCACAGGCGACACAGGGAGTTCCTGCTGGGAATGCTACTCGATCATCTTCACCTAAAGTAGCTGTATCAGCAAACACAGCAACAGAAAAAGGGAACATTCCTAAGCATCCGGTCACTCTGTTCGACCAAACAGATGATTCTTTTGAGGTGAGTCTTGATGACACTCAGATGAATGAGATTGTTGCGGACCAGAAGGAGAACGATGGAGAAAGAAAGACTGCTGACAGAGACACCTCAGCAACAACTGATGAGGTTGTGAGAGGTTGTGGAGAGAATATCAAAGCGAGAACAGGGGGCTTAAGCATGATAGCAGAAGGGGGTCTACCCCCCTGGCCACCAGATGGCGCCCTAGTGAGCTGTGGTAAGGAGGATGCAGATGGTGTTCTCCTCAGCAACACAGGTCTGAACGTTAAATGTTTGCCGCTGTGGATACCCGACGGTCACACCAGGGAGGGTGGTCAATCTCCCGTTTTGGAGATGGGGGGCTTCGATAACAGGTAAGGCACGCCTCCAAATGGATGGAGAGACGTACCGGCAGGAGGTGCTGGTGGCACAAATCAGCAATCAGCTCATCCTGGGACTTCACTTAGCTGACAGGCACTGCACAAACATTGATATGCAACCATGGACAGTTACCATTGGCGGGTGTGAGATCCCGGTAACGTTCAGGACTGTTGTGTGCCAAGGGGCTATTCCAAGGGCAGTGTCGTGAGCACCGCACACAGCTACCAGACTACCATGCCTTGACAGTCAAGAGTTGAACCAATCCCCGGTGGAGCCTGTTTCAGAAACCAGGCAGTGTGCATTAAGTTTGGGGAACCTACATCAAGGGCAATGCTCTTCCTTGGCGTACTTGATCAACCTGGCTGATCCTTAGTGAAGGTACACAAGGGTCAGCACGCTGGCAATGCAGTTGAAGACAGGCAGGGTGAGGAGACCAACAGCGCTATCTGTAGGGCCTCTTCCATTGCGAAGGTAGGGGAGGGTGTCCTATGCGAACTGTCATTGCTAGACTTGCCCAACGAGATGGGCATGTGTATTTTAGAAACAGACGGCTCTGGCCTAGCTGTCAGGATTGAGCTACCATTAGGGCAAGAGAGAGGGGCCAGTTGTGGTCGTTGCTCATTAACCCAGGAGCAGCGGAGGTATGGCCAAACTCACAAGAAGATGCTGGTGGACGTTCACCTTCCAAGAGAGTATTGCCACTACCTGTTGGGGCATTATTTTCTGATGCGAATGGACCACAACAGTTGGAGGTGGTCGCTTAATTTCGAATCGTCTGACAGACAGCTGGCCTGCTGGCCCGAGACAATGAGCCCATATGACATGAGGGTTGAATATCGTCCAGGGACCAAAGACCTTGCCGATGAAGCAGACTGTGACAGCTACCAGAGGTTGGTTGAGTTACACAAGCTCCCATGCGGGGGGCTGTCAAAATGCTCACCAACGAGGAGACCAGTTCCACAAGGACGTAGAGTACATCCTTCCATTAGCTGGCCGACCTTGGACAGTCAGGGGGGTGACAGGGGTGGAAGATAACAGCTACTTGGGAGAGATCCCTACCAGGTGGGACCCCGGTGGGATGAACAAGAATCAGACAGACGATCAGGGGCATTCTCTGGAACAGAGTGACCCCAAATCCTACCCGGAGAAGATTCACACTGATCCCAAGTGTACGACAGTTGTGGGATTGCACCCCAGAGTGGACGCCAATCTGGTTGACGGGGCGTTCCGCCTGCCGCTACGTCTTTGGCGGGACGTCCTCTGTGTGGTGGGGCTGGACGACACCGCAGAGGCCAACGAGTGGAGAGGACAGGAAGAAGTGTTGAGGGAGCTGGCACCGAACATCTCGGCTGGGTGCCCGGTAGTGGTATGGGTTCATGGGCCTGAGGGGGATGAGCTGGCCGGATCATCCCACACCCGGGTCATCCGGGTGTTGAAGGAATGCCTTCCCCAAGATAAACCCTTGGTAGTCCCCAACTTCACCAGAGAGGAGGGGACGGACCAGGAATGGTTGGAGGGGTTCTCACCATCTTGTTTCAGTTTCACCCCCCGGGTGGTTGTTTTTCTCCCCAGGGCCAGATGGTGTGGTTAAGGGCGGTGCCAGAGGATAGGGTGCTGATGGGGACAGACTGTCCTGACACTGGGCCAGAAGGTTGCACCCTGAACTCCAGTGTTGCTGTGCTATGGGGCGCAAGTGGTAGCAAGAAAGAGGGACTTCTCTTGACCACAAACGTCAACGCGGCTCGGATGTTCACTCTGGGGACGCCGTGGGTCTCATCCAATGGTAGGGTGAGGCTCGTGTAATGCCTAATGTTTTCTGGGCTCCACCCAAGACAGGGTGGGGTCTGTGTACGCCAGTAGCAGCAAGTTGGCCCCACCTAATGGCTAGGTGGGGTTGGATGGCCTTTGGCAGGTCATCAGTGTCGCTCCGAAGCGGAGTGGGACTTTCCTAGAGACTGTAAAAGACTGCGGGTCTTACTTGTTGGTACGAGTGGGACCCGAACCCTATATGTTATGGACGATTGGTCCCACCGAGGATACGGTGGAATCCACACCAGAAAGCCGGAAGCTCGGTGCTTGCGGAATCAGTGTGACTGAGGGGAGGACCCCTTGGTGTGCCTCACAGAAAGGATACCCCTCGGGAGACAGTTACGAGAAGACCCCTTGGCTGAGGACGGCATGGTGTACTTCCTGTGGAGGGGGCCTTTTAAAACGGGGAGGAATATGGTGATCACCGGTCACCCTTGCTAGAGATAGTGGTAATGACCGGTGTCGGGAGGTGATAGGAACAGCCGGAAAAAACAGCGAGTCTATGCCAGCCATTCTGTGAGTACACAACGCCTTATCTGGGGTCTACATAAATCCTTAGGTTAGGGCTATATTACCGCAGAGTGCGAGCCATAGCTAACTCCATAGGTGTTCCGCCGTAATGGTGAACGAGTTTTCACTACAGAAGCAACGCCCTCTGGTGCTAACACAACCAAGGGAAGTAACTCTAATGAACGCAAGACACCTAAAGCGCCCAGCAGCTAAAGGGGTGCAACTCTTGTCACCATACGGTCAAGAAATATTTTAATTATAAAATAAAACTTCAAAGGCACCATGTCACACATTTTCAACAATATTGTGGTCTATATTTTATATATTGGGGGCATGTGCACTCACTTTAGCTTCCTATTGATGCAATAAAAGATTTATTATCCCTCACGACTTGCCTGAAATCAATAATTGAAACTTCAAAGCGAACAATAAAACTTGATGATCATGGAAAGAAAACGATTGCTCTTTACATCGAAAACTGTTGTTGGTGTTTGCCGAACTGGCCTCAATCACAAGTTGTGCAATAAAATATTTGAAAACAGCGTTCCAAGGGACATAACTCTATGGAGTTGGCTTGAAATAATGTTTGGCCGGTAGAGGGCGCAAGAGTCGATTTAATGCAACGTTGCATTAATTCATTCAAACTTTTTAATTTAATATTGTAATCTAAATACTTATTTCTTTTGGAATAAATTATATGGTATAGTCTGTTTGGCTCAAAAGCGGACCGATGAATTGCTCGAAAACTAATAAACATACATTTCTCAATGAAACACTGATCATAATCGAAACATCAGACAAAGTCTGTGAAGTTTTTACAGAATTTATGTCCTAAAAATAAAAAAAAGTTGTTTAACAAACTATCATTAAAATATTGACACAGTTCACTATTTGTTACGAGGGAGGAGTGCAGAGAAAGGGACAGCCAGGTGTGCGAGAAAGGATGGAGACGGCACAGCACAGGTTCATGAATCAATAACTTTGTCGGCACTTGTCCCTTTCTCTGCACTCCTCCCTCGTAACGAATAGTGAACTGTGTCAACATTTTAATGATAGTTTGTTAAACAACTTTTTTAAATTTAGAACATAAATTCTGCAAACAAATCACAGAGTTGGTCTGATGTTTTGATTATGATCAGCGTTTCATTGAGTATTATATGTTTATTAGTTTTCGAGTTAGATTGCAATTCATCGGTACGCTTTTGAGCCAAACGCACTATAGCTTCCCTTGGGGCTGATAGTTAGTATTATTGAAAGACATGCATTATATATTTTTAGAGAAATGTGGTATGAAATTGTGCCTTTAACATTACTAAGGTCATTCAAGAGCTAAGGTCATCTTAAACAACCTGGACGTCAATACTTACAGCGACATTGCACTTGTTCCTGTCCTGTGTGAAGGTGAAGGTCAAGTCATCAACGTAACGCTGCTTAGGTGTCTCACGGGTGGCTTTCACCTGTGTTTTGGTCTTGGACACCAACTGGAAGTTGATGAGCATGAATACATTATAGAGGTTAGGACTTTCTATCAAAGATAATACTTTGAATTCAAGCATTTCCTGAGTGAATGGGAATGGTTTTATGCCTCTGATAGCAATATTTCAGCAACATCCCATCTGGGGACACTAGAAACGGGCTTCACACACACACACTTCTGTGCCAATGACGGGGTGTATCAGGTAGGGTGTCATGATTTGGTTCGGTTCATCGTTTACGATTCGATCTCGATTTCAAATGCATCCATTTCGATTCGATTTATAAAGTACTTACTTTCTAATACTGAGAGTTTATTTCACCTGAAGTCGTAAGAAATCATGTTGAAAATACGCTGCTACAAGTGTGGCCAGAGAGAGGGTATTCTCCACTGCCGGAGATATTGTAAGTGCCCAGAGGGCATGGCTTTCAAGTGAAAATTCCTTGCACATTACGGTCACAATGAACACTTGACACAAGAGTTCGTGACTGAAACTTAATTTCATGATCACTTGCTCAGTGAATATTTGTTGACAACTTGTCTTGACAGTGTTCTAACTGTGCATTGTGCAATTTTCCAAAGTTTGCCAAATTAAACAAATATTACAACAAATTTGACTTTGTCCTTAGTTGTGGTGAATCGAATTGAAATTAATGGAATCGAACGAATTGAACGAGTGAATCGTGACACCCCTAGTAGCAGGCCATGTCTTCCCCGGTCTAAACTTTCCCTGTGTAGAATCTTGCCTAGGCCAAACTCCCCCAGAAGCTAGGCCAGAATCTCCCCCTTTTGATATAAGAACAAGGGTGGGAAACATGTAGCCTATAAAGTTGATTCAAGGGTGGAGAAAGTTTGGCCTAGGACAAACTTTCCCCGGGGAAGGTTTGGTCAGGGGGAATGTTTAGCCTGTTACACCGGGTTCGACTCCCCACATGGTTACAATGTGTGAAGACCATTTCTTGTGTCCCCTGTCATGTTATTGCTGGAATATTGCTAAAAAGCAGTGTAAATTTATTTTGCATTTACCTTGTACAGGCATTTTTCTCCTCCGTCGGCGCATCCATCAGGACCTGTCCACCGTCCTATTTGACCCACAAGCTTGTCCTGCACATCTGTGCACGAGAGTGAAAATGTCCTGAAATTGTTACACAAAAATATACATTGGCATAACAATGGATAATGGTTTGATGATTCATAGGATGTCATCACTAGAGTGAGTGAGTGAGTGAGTGAGTGAGCATGGTTTTACACTACTTTTCGCAATATTCCAGCAATATCAAGGTGGGCGACAATAGACTTCACATATTATACCAATGTGGGGAATCAAACCCAGGTTTTCGGTACGACAGACGAACTCTTTAACCGCTAGGCTACCCCACCTTCCTCTCATCATTCGACAAATGGCACAAAACACAGAGGAAAAATATGGACTTTGTACATAGTATAACTTCATAAGTGAGAAGAAATCGTGTTTACCACTAAAGCAGTTTCACAGTCTGTATGCATGTGTGTGCGTGCCAGCAGAGATATATGTATAATATCTATTATATGGTCTCTGGTGCCAGTTTGGTGCTTATCGTACTCATAACTCAGTTGGGATTACACTCTCTCAGTAAAGTACGGATTCTTGTACTGTTGGGTTGAGTCCCATCTGGGATTTGAACCCACACTCTCAGAAACATTTACCTAATCGCCATTACATCATTAGTAAAGAATAGGGCTGGGACGATTCACCGATGCACCGATACATCAGATACATTTAAGTTTGATACAGCTATCGTATCGTCGACTGGTGTATCGATACAAAACGATACATGACTTTTTTCAAAACAGTATCATCTTAAACATGTTAAAGTACTTATTTACAGAAATATACACAAGTGTGATAGAGCTACTTGTTTGTTTATTACAATAGTGTTATTGTTATACACAAATACCTTGAAATAAATCATTTAAAATCAATATACTGTGTCATTCTTTCAAGGTGCATGTATCGTGATAGGTATCGTATCGCAGGTAAAATACCATGATACGTATCGTATCGCGACATAGTGTATCGTCCCAGCCCTTGTACAGAATAAAGTCCTAGAATCTGTACTGTGAAAGTGTAATCAGGGTACTAATCGCAAATACAACCTGTAAAATTTGACCACTTTATCAGTGACATTGTGTATGTTCAGTTGAGTCTGAACCAGATAATCCAATTACTCATAATCTACCCGATCCCGTTCTAACCCGATCTTCATGGGTGGGGACAAGCATGGGTTGCTGAAGACCAATTCTAACCCGATCTTCATGGGTGGGGACAAGCAAGGGTTGCTGAAGACCAATTCTAACCTGGATCTTCATGGGTGGGGACAAGCATGGGTTGCTGAAGACCAATTCTAACCCGATCTTCATGGGTGGGGACAAGCAAGGGTTGCTGAAGACCAATTCTAACCCGGATCTTCATGGGTGGGGACAAGCAAGGGTTGCTGAAGACCAATTCTAACCCGGATCTTCATGGGTGGGGACAAGCATGGGTTGCTGAAGACCAATTCTAACCTGGATCTTCATGGGTGGGGACAAGCATGGGTTGCTGAAGACCAATTCTAACCCGATCTTCATGGGTGGGGACAAGCAAGGGTTGCTGAAGACCAATTCTAACCCGGATCTTCATGGGTGGGGACAAGCAAGGGTTGCTGAAGACCAATTCTAACCCGGATCTTCATGGGTGGGGACAAGCATGGGTTGCTGAAGACCAATTCTAACCTTGATCTTCATGGGTGGGGACAAGCATGGGTTGCTGAAGACCAATTCTAACCCGGATCTTCATGGGTGGGGACAAGCATGGGTTGCTGAAGACCAATTCTAACCTGGATCTTCATGGGTGGGGACAAGCATGGGTTGCTGAAGACCAATTCTAACCTGGATCTTCATGGGTGGGGACAAGCATGGGTTGCTGAAGACCAATTCTAACCTGGATCTTCATGGGTGGGGACAAGCATGGGTTGCTGAAGACCAATTCTAACCCGGATCTTCATGGGTGGGGACAAGCATGGGTTGCTGAAGACCAATTCTAACCCAGATCTTCATGGGTGGGGACAAGCAAGGGTTGCTGAAGACCAATTCTAACCCGGATCTTCATGGGTGGGGACAAGCATGGGTTGCTGAAGACCAATTCTAACCCGGATCTTCATGGGTGGGGACAAGCATGGGTTGCTGAAGACCAATTCTAACCTGGATCTTCATGGGTGGGGACAAGCATGGGTTGCTGAAGACCAATTCTAACCTGGATCTTCATGGGTGGGGACAAGCATGGGTTGCTGAAGACCAATTCTAACCCGGATCTTCATGGGTGGGGACAAGCATGGGTTGCTGAAGACCAATTCTAACCTGGATCTTCATGGGTGGGGACAAGCATGGGTTGCTGAAGACCAATTCTAACCTGGATCTTCATGGGTGGGGACAAGCATGGGTTGCTGAAGACCAATTCTAACCCGGATCTTCATGGGTGGGGACAAGCATGGGTTGCTGAAGACCAATTCTAACCTGGATCTTCATGGGTGGGGACAAGCAAGGGTTGCTGAAGACCAATTCTAACCTGGATCTTCATGGGTGGGGACAAGCAAGGGTTGCTGAAGACCAATTCTAACCCGGATCTTCATGGGTGGGGACAAGCAAGGGTTGCTGAAGACCAATTCTAACCTGGATCTTCATGGGTGGGGACAAGCAAGGGTTGCTGAAGACCAATTCTAACCCAGATCTTCATGGGTGGGGACAAGCAAGGGTTGCTGAAGACCAATTCTAACCTGGATCTTCATGGGTGGGGACAAGCAAGGGTTGCTGAAGACCAATTCTAACCCGGATCTTCATGGGTGGGGACAAGCATGGGTTGCTGAAGACCAATTCTAACCTGGATCTTCATGGGTGGGGACAAGCATGGGTTGCTGAAGACCAATTCTAACCTGGATCTTCATGGGTGGGGACAAGCATGGGTTGCTGAAGACCAATTCTAACCCGGATCTTCATGGGTGGGGACAAGCATGGGTTGCTGAAGACCAATTCTAACCTGGATCTTCATGGGTGGGGACAAGCATGGGTTGCTGAAGACCAATTCTAACCCAGATCTTCATGGGTGGGGACAAGCATGGGTTGCTGAAGACCAATTCTAACCTGGATCTTCATGGGTGGGGACAAGCATGGGTTGCTGAAGACCAATTCTAACCTGGATCTTCATGGGTGGGGACAAGCATGGGTTGCTGAAGACCAATTCTAACCTGGATCTTCATGGGTGGGGACAAGCATGGGTTGCTGAAGACCAATTCTAACCTGGATCTTCATGGGTGGGGACAAGCAAGGTTGCTGAAGACCAATTCTAACCTTGATCTTCATGGGTGGGGACAAGCATGGGTTGCTGAAGACCAATTCTAACCTGGATCTTCATGGGTGGGGACAAGCAAGGGTTGCTGAAGACCAATTCTAACCTGGATCTTCATGGGTGGGGACAAGCATGGGTTGCTGAAGACCAATTCTAACCCGGATCTTCATGGGTGGGGACAAGCAAGGGTTGCTGAAGACCAATTCTAACCTTGGATCTTCATGGGTGGGGACAAGCATGGGTTGCTGAAGACCAATTCTAACCCTGGATCTTCATGGGTGGGGACAAGCAAGGGTTGCTGAAGACCAATTCTAACCTGGATCTTCATGGGTGGGGACAAGCATGGGTTGCTGAAGACCAATTCTAACCCGGATCTTCATGGGTGGGGACAAGCATGGGTTGCTGAAGACCAATTCTAACCTGGATCTTCATGGGTGGGGACAAGCATGGGTTGCTGAAGGGATCTTCATGGGTGGGGACAAGCATGGGTTGCTGAAGACCAATTCTAACCCGGATCTTCATGGGTGGGGACAAGCATGGGTTGCTGAAGACCAATTCTAACCCGGATCTTCATGGGTGGGGACAAGCAAGGGTTGCTGAAGACCAATTCTAACCTGGATCTTCATGGGTGGGGACAAGCATGGGTTGCTGAAGACCAATTCTAACCCGGATCTTCATGGGTGGGGACAAGCATGGGTTGCTGAAGACCAATTCTAACCTGGATCTTCATGGGTGGGGACAAGCATGGGTTGCTGAAGACCAATTCTAACCTGGATCTTCATGGGTGGGGACAAGCATGGGTTGCTGAAGACCAATTCTAACCCTGGATCTTCATGGGTGGGGACAAGCAATGGGTTGCTGAAGACCAATTCTAACCCGGATCTTCATGGGTGGGGACAAGCATGGGTTGCTGAAGACCAATTCTAACCTGGATCTTCATGGGTGGGGACAAGCAAGGGTTGCTGAAGACCAATTCTAACCCGGATCTTCATGGGTGGGGACAAGCATGGGTTGCTGAAGACCAATTCTAACCTGGATCTTCATGGGTGGGGACAAGCATGGGTTGCTGAAGACCAATTCTAACCTGGATCTTCATGGGTGGGGACAAGCATGGGTTGCTGAAGACCAATTCTAACCTGGATCTTCATGGGTGGGGACAAGCATGGGTTGCTGAAGACCAATTCTAACCCGGATCTTCATGGGTGGGGACAAGCATGGGTTGCTGAAGACCAATTCTAACCTGGATCTTCATGGGTGGGGACAAGCATGGGTTGCTGAAGACCAATTCTAACCTGGATCTTCATGGGTGGGGACAAGCATGGGTTGCTGAAGACCAATTCTAACCCGGATCTTCATGGGTGGGGACAAGCATGGGTTGCTGAAGACCAATTCTAACCCGGATCTTCATGGGTGGGGACAAGCAAGGGTTGCTGAAGACCAATTCTAACCTGGATCTTCATGGGTGGGGACAAGCAAGGGTTGCTGAAGACCAATTCTAACCCGGATCTTCATGGGTGGGGACAAGCATGGGTTGCTGAAGACCAATTCTAACCTGGATCTTCATGGGTGGGGACAAGCATGGGTTGCTGAAGGGATCTTCATGGGTGGGGACAAGCAAGGGTTGCTGAAGACTAATTCTAACCTGATCTTCATGGGTGGGGACAAGCATGGGTTGCTGAAGACCAATTCTAACCCAGATCTTCATGGGTGGGGACAAGCATGGGTTGCTGAAGACCAATTCTAACCTGGATCTTCATGGGTGGGGACAAGCATGG